ACCAAGTCATCGTAACAACAACACACGTAACAACCAGGACTGGGCAAAATATTCGAATAATATAATATTCGAATGGCATTTTACTATTCGAATAACCGGTACCACGTGACCTGCGCCGCTCCGCTTGGACACCGAACTCCCCCGTCTCCAACTCAATCGTGATTTGTGCGAGATTTCCCAACGGCGTTCTCTATCATAAAAAAGACAAATTTGAAAAGTCGTTGTCTTTGCGTTATGGTGTTATATGCTTATCTTTGCACTTAATTAACGTAACGTTTAAAATTTTATATTTTGCAAAAAAAAAAAAAAAAGTACCGTCCGTTCCGTAAATTTAGAAACGTCAAACCAGATTAGGTATTTAAAATAAATTTCCCAAATTTTGAACTCCGCATGCTTGGTGACATGTCATTAGCCATTTCTTGCATTACCAAACATAAAGTTGATTAAAATTAAATGTTAAAATGACTTTTCGGCGTTTCATTGTGAAAAAGGCGATTTTAGGTCGTTAGAAAACTCTAGTTATATAAATAGCATGGATTTAAAAATAACCAAAGTTTTCCCAAAACCTTTCCTTCTACCTTTAAAGCACTTTGTATTAGCCATGCATGGCCGTTGAGCCAAGAGTATAACGTAAAATCAATCGTGATTTTCACTGTAACAATGCACACTGACATGAATGAATTGCTATGCCTATTATCATCGAAAATGATAACGCAAGCGGCTCTCAAACCCTAGTTTGAGAATCACTGATCTGGACTATAATTAGCTGTAATTTGGGAAATGAAATGGTCTAGCTCTAGCCCAACTCTTCATGCACCCAATTCTGGCAACTTCGGTTGGACATTTTTTGGCATTCGACTCCAACTATAATCAGCTTGGCAATATATTTTCAATAAAAGTTTGTCTTTACTGTTTATTTATTTACCACCAGTACGTAATTTATCACGTTCTTCTTACTTCTCTATGGTTGTGTGTGTGTGCATGGGTGAAATAATTCAATTATTTTAGGTGAGTGAACACGTACCGCTTCTGCTTGGCAAAACCTTCCATCTCATATACATTCTGTACGTTTTAAACCTTGTCTAAGGTTTTGTTTGCTCTCCCGATTTCATAATCAGTTTTATTTATTTGTTTTTATCAATCATTTTATTGTTATGCTGATTATGGAGTCGAAATAAACTTATATGTTTGACAGTATTGAAGTTACGGTGAACTGCTTTTTAAACGTTTAACAACTGAAGCTTTTTAAGTGTTTGAAGTTACAGTGAAATGCAATTTAAATGTTCAACGACTGACGCTTTTTAACAGTATTGAAGTTACGGTGGAACTTTTACTGACCCGCAAGTACTAAATCTTGCTGGGACAGTTGAAGTACACCAATTCAAATTCATTCCATGAATTATGGAAATATACATACCTTCCTATCTATTTTAATGGTGTTGAAACAAAATTTATCTTGGACAGCGTCAACTTGTGAATAGGATAGTTCTAGCTCAGTCGGAGTAATTGCAAATGCGAATTTTTTATGTGTTTTCACTCTGAACAAGGCTCTATACTGGCAGAATTTGTTAAACTGCGGACATGGTGAGGACATCTTTACCTGCGATGCTAATGTAGTTGAACCCATCGCCAGTAACCACTAGGGCTGGGCTATACCGCCTTCAACCTGGTCAAGCCCTCGAGTACATAGCAGCATCCACAGATGTGCAGTACAGGAGTTACCAAATATCTTTACGTATCTCTTGCTCAATGGCAATGCTCACCGCGTGAATATCATTAAATTGATTGAAGCACCCTATTTATTACAAAGCCTGGATATCTGAGATACAATTAGGGGTGGGCAAAATCGAATAATTTTAACGAATACCGAATAGTCGAATATTTTTTATACACAACAGGAGGTCCAGAACGTCGGTCGATACTCCCTTTGGGAATTAATAAGGACATTGAAAATCGGCTACAACGCGTTTTTTTACTGGTTAATTTCGTCATAATCGCCGTTTTTGCGGTGATATGTAATCTATATTACCGCCTTTTCTGTTTTTTGCAAGTATTAATTCTTTCGGGTCGGCGGACATCGAAGTTTATATTTCGGGTTTTCCCGTACGTTCACGTCGGCAACAGCTGTTAAAACCATTAAAGATTGATTTCAAAACCCAAATGAATATTATTCTAATTCTCATCATTTGCATTGGCTTTCATATTACTTGTCAACGTTTGTAAATTTACCGTCACAAAATTAAGTCAACTGTTATTATTTTATCGATACCGGGATGCAGATATTTATTAAGACAATACCGTAATTAACTTTGCTATGCTTTTCTATGGTGTCTATGTTACGTTACAGATAAAACTCACAAAGCTGCGATTGCGTCAATCCCGAATGTTGATTTATTAAATGTTGATAGTGACTGAATAATTCGGCAATAAAGGCATTTCTGCGTGGCCACATGACGTTAATAAACTTAAGAATAATTTACATATGCGACCTAATGCTGAAAAAATTGCGCTTTTGTGCCTAATAGATGCTTATAACTAACTCTTTCAAGTTCCGACGTTTTCTTTCTACAAACCCCGCGATCATTATAGCTAATATCGTTGCCCAGTAATTCACAATTTTATTTACGGAATTCGCAAATTAACTTTTACTTCTCTTGACGATGTCACGCCCTATTTATTAGTGCAAAAATGCTCAAAATATAACGAATGGAATCATTTCCGATGCTACAACAATTCGTAAACGAGACAGTGCGCATCGAAATTCACGGTTGATTTTACGTTATACTTCTGTTCACTATTTCTACACTCCACCCGCCATGCATGCCCGAGTGAAATGTTTACATTCTCGAAACATTACGGTACTTGGTCAAGAATGAAAGGGATCGCTGAAGAGTAATTTGAAAGTACATTAAAAGAACTATGTCCTGCCATTTCTTTTCTGGTCATAGCTTGTTCCTGTTATACGATGTAGGGTTTCATGCGAAAGTTATATCAACTTTTAATTTTCGTTAAACAAATTTATGTTTGGTTCATGCATGAAACGGCTAATCACGTGCCGCCAGTCATACAGAGTTTAAAATCTGGAATATTTATTTTAAATACTTCATCTGATTTGACGTTTCTTAATTTAGGAAACGGTGTCGGTACCTTTCTTTGCAAATAGGGAATTGAAATGAACGATTGAAACGCAAAGAAAACAAATAACACTACAACGTAAAGACGATTTTTCAAATTTGTCGCTTTTGTCTGTTAGCGAGCGTTGTTGGTGAATTCTCGCGCAATTCACGATAAGTTCAGAGACGTTCTGTGTCCAAGTGAAGCGGCGCAGATCACGTGGTACCCGATATTCGAATAGTAAAATGCCATTCGAATAATTTAATATTCCATTCGCTATTTTGCCCAGCCCCAGATACAATGCAACCAAAAATACAAACATGCATATACATCTAATACAATCTGTACTGTTGAAGTATCATCACAACAGATTTTTTTTTCAGATTCATTATGCCTTAAACAAAGAAGAGAAGGCAAGGTAGATGTATGTTAAATAAAGTTTATATAAAACCGACAGCCTTCTTGGCACTGTGATACCAACATGAACAGTTGAACACATAGGTATATACTTAGAGGTGAAAAATAGTAGGAAAGCAATTTCAAAAATAAGACAACAATTAACTGGAGAAACCCCATGATGCAGTAGGTGCAGATTTTATCAATTTTGACTTCCTAAAGTTTTGCAAATATGAATTCATAGTCTCTTATCAACATTTAGAATATTTTTGAGCAGTAGTTTCATATTTAAATATTTGTTCATTCTATAGTCCTGGAAACAAGTCTATCAGAAGTGTACATTCAATACTTTCTAGCTAACATGCTTATAATCATTTTATTCAATAAGATTGAAATTCACAAGAGTATATGTACACGGTCCATTTTCAGAACAAATTTGACTACCTCAGATCTTGGCAATCAAGCTTATAGTTAAGAACTGCAAAAGTTACAAATTACAAGAAATGAATAGTTCAAAAAGTTGAATAGTCGATGCATTGTCATTCTGAAATCTGATTATAGACAAATGATATTCCTTTCATAGTCAAGCATGCGAAGAGAAATATCAAAATGTTCTTTCGAACTTGTTTACTTTCTTGCTTTTTCGCTTCTTCTAATTCCTTTTGTGTTGGTGGAGCTCCAGCCCCCATTCCTCCTAGTCGAAACATTCTCAAATCAAATTCTAAATGGTGGTGCTGCACAGAATATTTCAATAAATTCCACTGATTATACAAGCTGCATTAAAAATGCACAATAACAAAGGTTAAAATTCACAAGAACAAAAGTTCCTATCTTCAGATCTTAGAAGATAAGAGCACTGTATGACTAAGATAATTTTTGCATTCTCGTTCAATGACAGAATGAGGTTACATTGACTGATTGATGAGGTGCGGAAAGATTACTAAAAAAGTGACTTGATAAACTAGGCTAGTTACAGAGTTGGAGCCCTAATTTTCAAGAATCTATATCGGCACTGTGTCCTTTTGAGCATAATTATAGCACTTTGGTTCTGTCAGACTGTAGTAAAACTTACATAGACTATGTCAGTATGATCTTAAATATTTACATTTCTGGGGTCGGTTCGGCTATAAAATGATCTGAACCACCGGCACGCCACTAACAAGAATAATGTAAATTATTTTGAGACATGATTGCTAGATTGGGCAGAATAATTTAATCATAACCTAAAACTGCTGTTGCTACCATTTCAATATTTTTGCTGTGGCGGCAACGAATTCACAAGGCTGCGAACCACAGGGCAACAAATAGTCAAATTTACTTTCCGCATGGCTTTTCACGCATGGATAATTTACGAAGATTTTATTTCAGCCGGTGTATTAGATATGAACAAAATGTATGTGCTCTATGCTTAAAACATAAATAAAAAATATTCTGTTGCTAAATTTCCTTTAGTTGCTATGCGCAGAAATTTTATGATACAAAAATAGATGAGAACTAACTAAAAAAATCAACAATATAGGGTCAAAGTTCAGGATCAGCCGACTTGTCAATCCCGATTGTGCTGCCCTCTCTTTTCCAGTTTCCCTAAGATGGCTGTAGGCAAGAATAAGCGCCTTACAAAAGGCGGTAAAAAGGGTGGCAAGAAGAAGATGTAAGTTTCGTTTTACGTAAATAATAATTTTAAAGTAATCATTTGATATTTCAGCTAAATTTCTTATGTTCTAACCCCTTCACTGTCCCGATGTTATTGGATATAAATCGATGATAGTGTTATTTTAAGAAGTATCAATGAACAACATTAGGATGTATTTTTTGAATTTACAGTGTGGACCCGTTTTCCAAAAAGGACTGGTATGATGTCAAAGCCCCAGCTATGTTTAAACAACGCCAGATTGGCAAGACCCTGGTTTCTCGAACCATTGGCACGAAAATTGCATCAGATGGTTTGAAGGGACGAGTGTTCGAATGTAACCAGGTACTTCTTTTTTTATAAAAATCTCGTAATTCAAATAGTGTATGGCCTAGAACAAGGGTGGGCAACCCCTGGCACGCGTGCCAAACTTTACACGCGATCCCATTTGTTCGGCACATGAGCGAGGCCCCGGAAACGAGATCATTCTCCTTGGGATAAAAAGTTTCCAAAAATCTGAATTATCTGATGAAACTAGGTGCTCGTTTATTCATTATCGTTTTTTAACAATCCGTTATTTATCCAAATTCTTTTTGTCCTTTCATGGCATACCGGTATTGCTAAAAAAAAATATTATGATGTAACAAATGAGTGAGCTCTCGAGAAGATCGCGGCATTCTTACATAATACAGTTCGTCTGTGCCGGCGCCCTTTCTTTACATTTCGGCTTGATTTATAAAGTTGTACAGATCATGTTGGTTAGAGTTACTTGCTAACTTACTGTTATAATTTGATAAAGGGCTCAAGGGAGGGGAATACAAGACGAGAAGTGCATGCAACGAACAATTGCGTGATTGGGATGCCATTCCTAAAAATTTGTTTTTTAAAAACTTTGCAACTTTACTTTTCCTGTTTTCATCTACTTACGCTTGTGAATCTTTGTTCTCGGCTATGAACTTTATTAAGTCTCGTAATATGAGTAGAAGGATGAAACCTGAAGTTTGTGTATTCCCCTGAAAGTTGTAAAATGTAAACCCATTGTAAAATCTCTATCAGCGGTAATGCAGCAGCAGAAGTCTCACTGATATAGAATAATAAAAGTAATTACTGATAATTTCCCGAATAGTGAATATGTCTGTAGGCCTGCATGTTTAAAATGTTTGTTATTATGTATCATTGCTTTGAAAGTGGATAAGCTTTTTAATTTTAGTCGACACGCGGTAGATTTTTATGGTTAAATTTAGCTGATTTTGGCACGCGAGCCGAAAAAGTTGCCTGGCCTAGGAGATCTATTTACAGATGATAAATTCATATGAATTCTATTCATATGAATAATACTGACTGTCGGAGATAAATGTAGTTTGGTCTGTCTGTCTGTAGGTAGAATAAGTCACATGAATTCTATCCATATGAATAATACTGTGACTGTCGGAGATAAATGTAGTTTGGTCTGTCTGTCTGTAGGTAGAATAAGTCATCTAAGTGGGTCAGGGTGTTAGTGTTATTTGTACTGCTAAGATTTTATGTTTGTACTTGGGACAACTAGTAATTGAATTGTCACCTTCATAACTTCCTCCAACAACCCAATCACTAAATCATATGTCCTAGGCCGATCTTCATGGGGATGAATCAACATACAGAAAGATGCGTTTAATTGTTGAAGAAGTGCAAGGCAAGCATTGTCTCACAAACTTCCACGGAATGGTTTTGACAAGGTTGGTTTCATGCTTCCTATTACTGTATTATTGATATTTATTGTTTTGGACTTACTACATTCATGCTTGTTATTTGTTGTTTTGGTCTTAATACATACTGATAAAAAGTAGAGAGAGGTGTGAAACAGAATAAAACAGTGACGCAGTATTGCACTGTTTTTTTTCGTTTCAAGATGTTTTTCTCAGTTTGCAGTGTTTTACTCTATTTTTTCAGTAATTAGTAATCCCTTTTATTTTGCATATAGTTGATGCTCAGTGAGTGGCAATGCATTATAATTAACCTTGCTAAACCACAGTGTTAAAATTAGCTTGAATGTCTACATCCGAGGCCTAAATTTTCATTGTTTTATAGAGACAAGCTTTGTTCAATGGTGAAGAAATGGCAAACCCTCATTGAAGCAAATATTGATCTTACAACAACTGATGGATACAAAGTACGTCTGTTTTGCATTGGATTCACTCACAAACGTAACAATCAAATCAAGAAAACTTCTTATGCTCAACACCAGCAGGTATGTTTAAATTATTCTCTTTCCTCAACATGTAAACTTACCATTAATCCAGTTTCTGCTTCTTGTAATACCGCTAGTGTCTTTATCATGCATCTTATGAACTTATTCTCGCATTCTGTTGTATTCAGCCTTACTTGAATGACAAGATTTATAACTCAATTAAAATGTTGTATAAACATTTTTATACAGTCAATTCAATTACTGTATTTGGTAGAGATTTAATAAGAATTTGATTTACATTTTGGTTCAGCAATTGCGTAGTACCAAGGAATGTCATTACACACTGCAAAATCTGATTGGTTTAGAAATCTTCCAATTCAAAAATAAATTCATGCTTAGTTCATTTAGTTCACTGTTAATTTAATTCCAATGAAATAACATTAAGATTTCTTATCTCAAGTTTAAGGACATTTGTATTTAAAAAGGTATTCAACTTGTGATGTGATCTACTAAAATAATAATCTGAATCAGAGAATGTTATCAGAGTAAACTAAATTTAAATATTCAAGATACTTTTAAAACTGAAAACGAACTATTCTGGTAGAAAATGGTTGTTTTATCAATTCCCATTCCTGACATCTGGATCATTTTACTTCAGGCCCCTTGTAAAACTTGTTAAAAATTCAAGATTTTCATTACTGATTCATGTTTTGCGAGTTTAATTTATCGCAACACAAATTTCTTTATTGTTGAAATTTGTGACACAATACTCGCTATATTGAATGAGTTCAACACTACCGTTATCTACAATGAAGTGTTTTTATCGGTCAGTATGTTCTCGACATGCATTTTTTTGTTACTGTTCTAATAATGGACTGAGATTATTTCATGATTGGAGTGAAAATGTACACATGTACAAGTTGTTGTGCACATTAAATTTAATTCAAGCATGAGGGAATTTGAAAAACTTGCCTTCATAATATTTTAGACTTAAAAATCACTGATTTAGCATTAGTCTGGCAAAATTTTGATTTTTTTCAAATATTTCAAGTAAAATTTTGTATTGCCATTCACAGTAGAATTTTGAATATTCAACTTGAATTGTAGAAAATTTATGCTACTAGTATGTCTGTATAGCGATACATGTTTGGATCAAACATAGTCAACTTATGGCCCGTTCCAGATTATACCAACTCTTTGTTTTAGATCCGAAACATCAGGAGGAAAATGATTGAAATCATGACTCGTGAAGTTTCAGCTTCTGATCTTCGTGAATTTGTGAACAAACTCATTCCAGATTCTATTGCAAAAGATATTGAGAAGGCCTGTCAGGGAATCTACCCTCTTCATGATGTTCACATTCGAAAAGTGAAAATTTTGAAAAAACCCAAATTTGACAGTAAGTGTTCTGAAAATTATTGTATGTTAGATGATATTGTTGATAGCAGGTAGTAGCAATCAAAATTGGTTAGAATTCAGCAATTAGGACGGCAGTGCAGACCAAATATTTGATAATGCAGAATAGTTGAGATGAAGGTTTTTTGGTTGATTATTTTTTGCCCCCCAATTCTGTCAGCAGTTAAATAAGTAAGTTGTATTTTATGTCTAACCGTCATATGTCAAATGCTTATGGCAATAAATTTTCAAATGAAAATATATATTCTAAATTCTTCCAAGAATCATAAGAATTTACTATATCGAATATCACCAATTTTGACTGTATTCATCATTTTACACATCCTCGTTTGGTTAACAGCAAACCTTCAGTTATGACAATCTCAATGCTTGAATTTGAAGCATTGAAAATAGGTGACTCAAACACAATCTCAGCACAATACATAACTAGCTGGGTGAATTAGCTCGAAATGGTTATTTTGATGTTTCACTTTGCATGAATTATAATAATACTTGGAGATTATCTACTCATTGTGCAACCCCCAAGTATGAGATAGCAACCCATTTCGCATTTTGGAAATATATGAAGTGAAAGTTGCCTACCTAACACATTATCGTTTTGCAGTTGGTCGTCTGATGGAATTGCATGGCGAGGGTAAAGGTGCAAAATCAACTGTAGGAGAGGACGGTGATGCTGGTTCAAAGGTCACTCGCGTTGGCGACGGATTCGAACCTCCCGTTCAAGAATCCGTTTGATTTTTCTCTGCCAACCAAATAAAAATACAAAATCTCTAAATTTTCGTCATCTTTGCCTTTGTTGTGAGGCTTCTGTTTATCATTGTGAACATAGTTAGGTTTTCAAAGGTCAGTTGATCTAATACAACATGCACTGGTGTTACCCACACTCTATCCTCTTATATTTATCGTCGTAATTTGGTTTGTGATTTCCATATGGAAGGCTCTAAACGCACAATTTTCGCGAAAATTCGTCAGACTTGTTTTCCTGACTGGTGGCTATTACACTTACGATGAATCTGCATTTGTAATAACTGAATTGAAATACCGATGTTCGTAGAAACTTTTAGCGTCTCCGCTGCCTAAACTTCGGTCTCTGGGGTTAGGAAATAGCATAACGATTATTTATGAAAAGTGAAGGTATCTATGATCAGCCGGTAGATGATTACAGAATGTGCAAGAGGATTGCAGCTCTCCTCCCAATGAGGGTGGTTCACACGACCGCTGGTCGATTACGACATCCCACCATCCAGCCCATGCTTCTGTAAACAAATAACTGGCTAACTAATCCCGACATAGAATGGTAATCGTACGATGTTGCACCTTGCAATCCTCCCCCTGATTGCTTCGTTAATTAGCAGGTAATCTATTACTGATCTGATACACAAACTTGACACTGTCAAATGATGATTAGTGTTTAATTTCTTTTCAGGAAAAAGGAAAGATAACCCATTATCAGCTGCTTATGTCCCATCAATATTTGAATTTTCGCCATCCCCAGAGAGAAAAAGAATAGTTAGAAAAAGGGGTTTTTCAAAGAAAGGAAAAAGGCAGGACCATTTCAACAAATTTGTTAACTTGTATGCGTTGCAATATCACTTTGCAGTTGTTAGCATAAACATTTAATGTGTCTTTCGACTAGACCTACCACACTTTAAAAGAAGCCGCCTATACCCATTTCACTAGAACCATAACACTGTAAAAAATTTGATAGAAATTACCCCTAAGGCATCATATCTTCCATTTGAAAAGAATTCCACTATACGTACAGCCAACGGAACAATACGAAATAACCATTTATACTGAGGCACTAGGACAGGTGTCGGGAACCTTTTTGGTCAAGAAAGCCATAAAATATACATATTTTTAATTGCATTTCCGTGCGAGCCTTATAACATTTCTTCACTTAATCAGGCCTGAAATGTTGACTCAAAAGTCAACACATACAATGTCAATATATATGTAATGTGATTTCTGATGCTGCATGTAGTCGCTGCGGGCCTTGAACGGTTGCTCACCTGCAGCCCAATGCGGAAATCTACGATACTCATCACCAGTGGCGGCGCGTGGTCGTTTTGACAACCGGGGCAAGCTACTGCGGGACCAAGTCACCCCCATCTACGGGGACAGGATGAGCGCTGTGAGTTCTCCCATCATTTTATGAGAATAAAAACCATTCCATCGGTAACAACCAATCGGTAAAAGCGACAATTTTTAACGATAAGAAAGTGTCTGGTCCAAGTCAAGGGATTAATAAATATAGACATATATTATTTTGAAACCTCTTTCAAAAGGAAAGGCAATATTTACCCAGATAAATACAATGACATATTAACAGAAACTTCGGGAAAGCAGACAAAACCTAAAATAAGTTTTAAAACGTTACTATGAAGAAAGGAAAGTTAATGCAAAGATAAGGACATGCGTCGCTCACTCATAGATATATATGCTGCTAGACTTCTACTGCTTGAACATATATGCAACACGCCGCGGTTTCTTGGAAGCAAAATGCTCAATAACGCACTGATTAAAGTCATGCATCCCAAAAATAACGTCTCTGTGAATGGATAAAACAGCCAAGGAATTTAATCTATCTTGCTTCATTGTGTTCCTGAGATACGTTTTAATACGCTTCAGCGTGCTGAATGTTCGCTCTGCGTCGGCGGAAGAAATAGGCGTCGTCAAAATGATGTCCAGAAATTTTGCAGACGCCGCAAAGGTAGTTACTAGAGTGTTATCTATGAGGAACCCATAGAGCGCACAAGTTGATGTGATGTTCAAAAAAGTTTGATTGGTGTATATACATCGCAATTCATTTTCCAATTTACCCACGTTTATCATAGGGTAAAATTTGGAGACAGTAGCCAACAAATGGATGGGAAATTGACGTGCAAATTTTAAAAAATTTTTTGGGTCCATCAAAGAGTACGCGGCAAGGTGTTCAGTGCGCAGACGATCGCCTATTTGATTCACCACAATGTCACAGAATTCCTTTGCAGACAAAATCAAACGCTGCGTTGTTTGCCCGTGGCGTAAAGAAGCACTCCATGTGTCGTCGTATTTTATTTTTCCCGGATACGAGATACAGCATCGCAGAAGTCTGAAATACACGACTGCACAGACGCTCCATCCATTAGCCTTGACTGCAATGCGCCGTATAATACATCCACGTGATAGAATATTGTGGAGAAAAAATGAAAACTCACCATCTTCTAGCAGACGCTTTAGACCTGCCGCCTCCCTCACAGAGCGTTCGTCCCAAACCGGAGAGCTCTGAATGCCATTGAAACACTCAATGAGCTCAGACCTAATTTCGGACACGCCCTGCACCACGCGTGATTGGAAGTTCCAACGTGTTGGTGCACAAGCTGGGAGACGGCGGCTACATATCTGGCGAAGGAGGTCAGAGCGCTTCGGCGAAACGGAAAAAAATGAAGAAATCCCCGGAACATTTGCAAAAAATATACGGACGAGAGGGGTATCAAGACACATATTTTTAATAACGAGGTTAAATTGGTGTGCATAACAATGTAAAAAATGCGCATGAGAGAATCTTCTTTTATATAAACTTGAACACCATGTTTCGACCCACTCATGACTGCCGCGCCGTCATAAGTTTGAGCTATCAATTTTGACTTCGCGTTGTAAGGCTGTAACACTTCTTTCAGTACAGCCGATATCCCGCAAGCCGTGCGATCAACGATTGGTACAAAGCTGTGAAATCTCTCGGTAGGTTTACCATCTTTCACAAACCGAAAAATCACAGCCAGTTGGGAAACGCACGTGATGTCAGTTGTCTCGTCAGACTGAATCGAAAGGAACTGGCAATTCTCAATTTCCAGAGCCAAATGTTGTAAATAAATTTTATACATTGAGTCGAGCAAATCATTTTGGATATCCTTATATGTCCCTTTCGAAACAGTTGCGGCATCAAGATGATCTCTCAATGCTGTATCTAGGGATGCGGTGTATTCCACCATATCCAAAAATACCCCTCTATTAGAAGAGCCAGCCCGTTCATCGTGCCCACGGAGGGACAGCTCGTGACAACCAATGAACTTCAAAACATCTATCAATCGACCGAGAACATGGCGGTTTTTCTCGACGTTTTGGTTGTGCCGACGAATAGAAACCGCGCGTCCTTCATCCAACTGTGCTGCAATATTAACATTTCCGAATGTTCGGTATTTTACTGCATTGTCCAGTTGCTCCATAAAAGATTGATGATCCCTGGCACGCTCGGAAAGATGTTTAAGATCTCTAAAATCAAATTTACACCAACGTGAGTCACGGGCGGTAGCAAAAAGTAGGCAATAAAAACAAAAAAGTGCATTTTTGTCCTCGCTGTAACACAACCATTCGTGTTTTTTATACCAAGTTGCTGCGCAGAATGTACGCCGACGCTTTCCTCCGTCATGGGATTGTTCCAGTGAACAATTTTTTGGTTGATAAGGCCCAGGACGTTGTACCTCTAATTTTTGTTCAAGCGGCAGCTGCGAAAACGGAGTGCGAAGTAGTGCATCAACCTTATTCATTATGAGGTCTAAGGCTAAGAAATGCGGGGCCGGAAAGAAGTGAGGAGCTCAAAAGGAATGTGGAAAATCGAAAGCAAATGGACTGAAGGTCTCTAACTGATTCAAATAGCGAAACAAGCGACAAAAACGAAGGCGAGGAAACTATCAACTCTTCGAGCAACCAACGAACGAGAAGGAATGCGTGAATATGTCAACACGTTGTTGTAAGAAACGTCGGCATTGTGTGGTCATATTTTCGGGGCTAGCCCCGATCGGCCCCGATGATTTAGTAAAAGAAACAGAAAACAAACGAGACAAACGCGGCGAGTGGAAGATAAAAGAGAGAATACGATATACAATGAGCAACCGGGGCAAAATCGGCGTCGCCCCGGCGACGTTCGGCGAAGGCTTTGCGAGCGAAAAATGAACCATGTCGGGAGAATATGGCTAGTGCACACAGTTTGTGCAACCGATATTGAGGTATTTTTCGAATATTTTTTATTATACCGAAAAAACAACCGGGGCATTGCCCCGGTTGGCCCTATTGACGCGCCGCCACTGCATCACCCTTTTTCGTTTAGGCATTTCTGTAGTGTTTTTAAAACTATATCGCTTTGTGATGTCACAATATATGTTCCAGATACCCCAATTGTTTGTCGCAATGCCTGTCTAGTAAATATCTTACAATTCAGTGGTTCCCAAACTTTGTTGACCATCGCCCCCCTAAAGTAGTTCACACAATTTCATCGCCCCCCTGCACAACAAAAGATATAAAGTCAGAAACGAATATCGTCACGCTAATAACCGAATTGCGTAAGTCATTTTTGGCGATTTTGAGTTTTTTATAAAATAGGTATTTATGTGATGCTGCGCACCTGTCTGTTAACTCAGATTTTATTTTAGGAATTCCGAAACCCATAAAAATGGAGATTTGGAATGACATGCACATTTGTGCAATTGTTTCGTCATAATGAATTACCATTGTTATCGTAGGACTATTGTGACGTCACAAAGGCAAAATAACCTCGGGAAGTATTTTCGAGTTTTTGCATCTCGGATTCTAGCTTAGCGCGTATTAATTGGAATTTATACTACAGTATAGGAAGACGTGCACTTGTGATAATCGCTGTCCCAGTCCAATTCACCTTGGTCGGCTTTTATATTGGGTGCATTGCTGTTTTATTCTTTACATTTATTCTTAGTATTATTTCGGTGGGTGTGCAGAACGTGTTATATATATTGATAAAATATATATTTTTAAACATAAAAACTAAAGTAATTAAAAAAGTAATTAGCTATTTTGGAAATTAGACATTAGATACTGAGAATTACATTCGTTTTTGGAATGTTTAGTTTCCGGACTGGTGTATATAGTAAAGTTGCAAAATTGCGTATGTCCACAAGTCATAGACACATTTCTGCCTAAGTCACAGTGCGCCACTATGACGTCACTTTACTGCGTCATACAAATTACCTTATTTCCGGCTACGATCAAAAAATTGAACCTTGGTAAATTATTGACTCTCAATAGCATAACAATATCATTAGGAAGTTTTTCATGGTTTCTCAAAACTGCTAAAACTGACTTACGCAATTCGGTTATTAGCGTGACGATATATATATTACAGACCAAATAAGAAGACAAATCATAGTTTATAGTGTTTTTTAATGAGATAGATGAGCTTGGTGTTCTTCAGCGAGTTTTTTCTTATATCTAAAATTACCCCATTTACTGATGGCGTGGTGGTTTCGTTGTTTTAATAGCAATAGTAGCACGGCTGAAAACCCCCTTTTCACCATATAATAGGTCGGAAATGAAAGAATCCAGGTTTTTACTTCCTCAAAAACCGCCGCGTACTCTTGCCTTATAGCATTTCACTTCCTAAATTCACCCAATTCACATTAAAATAATAAAAACAAAGTTAAGTTTCCCAAACTTATAATAATGATTTTCGTACATTTCATTCATTCGTACAGCCTGATGATCTGCACCAAAATACTTCGGAGAAATTCATCCCGATTCCTCATCCTATCACGGCCTCCAGTCCGATCACCAGTCCATAATTAACCAGCCATTTGTTTTTGGATTCATGGACTCGGATGTGGAAGAAGCCGTGACTGACTATCGGCTACGGCCCAGGGGTCGGCAAATTTTATGTCGCTCGCAGGACAAAATTCAGGGTTGCTAGTCTTTTGAGGGTCGTATATATTTTTTGAAAGTTAAAAACGGAACACACGCGAAAACTGCGACAATTCGTGAACTCAACTCAGTCGTCTTATTAAAAAATATTACAATGACATTTAATGTGACTCTGTCTTGTTGCTGCATCACGCTGGATAGCTTTACGACGCCAAGATTGAAACATTTTCTAAATGGGCATCACCAAACCCACATCTTTGCTTGTTTTTTGTAATGTTCATTTTCGAAAATAATGGTTTGCACAAATACGTACTTCCAAACATCGAAGTGAATATTTTCGCATGATTTGTAAAATTTTGATAAATATTTTCTTTAAGAAGATACATTGTTACAAAAATTAAGCAGTGTTGAATCTCTCGAATAGAATATGAATTTTATTTCCTTATTGCTTTGCAATATATTCGAATATTTACTGCGCTATTGAACCCCTGCACTCAGAATCAGCTTTTCTGCGTGTTTCCATTTGTCTAATTATAATTAAATTGTAGGCTCGTTTATAGTGATTAGTTATCACTACACATAGATTGTTTGTAGATTGGTCTGGTTTATGTGTTATAACCCCAGCATTGACTGACAATAGTTTTGTCTTGCGTTCTATAACTCGAACTGTCTATCTGTCGATAGCCTTCGGCTGTAGAAAGGAGTCGTTTGAAAACACCTTATGAGTTTATTGCAATTCCGACAATATATACAGAAATACAATGTACACACAATTTGATCAAATCTAGTCTGATTAAAACAAAACACGTTGCTGAATATATAGCTTTCTACCAAGCAATTAAAATAGAATAAAGAAACAGATTTTTACATTAACGATTAAAGAATCACGCGTCATTCCGGTTTCTGGTTAGCTTTCGGTTCACTATAATCAAACATTATTAAAAGTGTTTTCTTGAAGTTCATTACTAGCAATTAACTTGTTATTGCCAAGTCACCGTGTTCCTGGTCACGTACTTACTCCAATTATGAGATGTAAAAAGTTGTTCTCAAGTGGATAATTTGGTTTTAACAAGATATTTCGAATTTACGTTATTGGAATATTACTGGAAATAAATTTTATTTTTACATGGGATGGCACCGAAAGGCTATTAAATCTTGAAATTGGATTTTGAGAAATTGATAATTGCTATAACGGGAATAATTAATTTTGGTTTTCATGAGTTTCTCACGAATTGGGCCAATTTGGTGTAATTTTGTAGTTACATAACAACTAATTGGCTACATAACTCCCCCGCAGGAGTTCGGAGAATTCTAAGGATGCAATTTGGGCTGAGAAGGCGGAAATGACGTGCTGTTTTCATGAAATTCAACTAAAAATAAAAAATAAATTTTAAGCTGTATAAAGGTAGATTAAATATAGTTATTCCTGAGATAGTTATACATGAGGTATATTATTGTTATAGGTATTGATGTAAATGCACGAAGTATTTAATTCTTCGTAAAACACATGTTAGAAAGAAATCATGTTAAAGTATAATATATATGTATAATATGAGCATTGCTATTCGACTAGTCTGCCAGACTAGGGTATAAGTTCGAATTTGATCTATTATTGGGATTTGGTCTGGATTGATAGATTTGACTTTATCCGCATGATTTAAGGTATAATTGACGTAGTTATAGAACCGACCGTCAATTTGAAACGTAAATATACGACCAGGCGTATAATTTTCAAAAAAATGAATACCCACATAAGCGTTAGAATCAGGGAATATTTGTGCAATGATCGTTTCATTGCTATTATTAATAAAGTGCACTAAAGGTCGGGTAGCATATTTACCCTGTAAAAAGAGGTTCCTAAGAACGGTAACGTTAATACGTTGGCATTCAATTTCGGTCAATATATCACCCACGGTGATAGCTGCTCTGTTCCCACCTAGTAACTGACTTAAGATCTTACCGGGGTATTGTTTAGACAGGAGTTTAATATTAGTGGTTAGAATGCTTTCAATTTGGCATTCCAAATAATTAATATCTGCTGTCAATTTGTTTATTACCTGGGAAACCCTATCAGTGCTTTCTTGAATAAACCCAATTAGAGGAGAAGATTCTGAAAAATTCTTTACAGTATAATCGTAATTAAAGGCGGGATATTTAAGAGTAAAAAGGGATGAACCATCAAGTGCAATGCATTGTTGCGTTTCGAATAACAAACCATTATTGGTACAAAAAGTATCAGACTTAAAACATCTTTTAACTGACTTGCCACATGAACCCCAGTTATGGATTGATTGCCCAAGTTTTGGAAAATCTAGGCGGTAAATCTGATTAGAAGAATTATAATGTAAAATAAGTTCAGTAACAGTTGTTTGGTATTGAGGGCAATCAATTAAAGGGTGGTGTTTCCAAATTAAAGTTTGACTTCCTAACGTGCATGACCCAGTTAATATGTTGCAGGTGGAAATTGAAGGGAAAGCACCTAACATTACCCCATGAAAAGGATCATACGAAATTTGAATACGAGACAAATGAGCATTGATCACTTGTCCGTGTCTAGAGGATGGCCAACTATAAGTAACTTTTGCCTTGTTTTGAGTGGACCAAGTAGCTGGGGAAGTGGGTTCTAAATCTCCAATATTATCAGCTTTTAACGTGTGTACCCAATCTTCACAATATAAAGGGGTGGGTGGTTCTATCATGGTAGAAGTCAGTTTACTCGAATGTGCACCAAAGAAAATATAATGACTAGACCATTTAGTAGCAGATTTCTGACATACATATAAAGTAATATTTGTATAGCTAGAAGATAATTCATGTACCGTAACAGAGCATTGCTTAATGGTTTGGGGTGTCTCCTTAGTACAATTATTGGGCTTCTGAATAAAGTATTCAGCTTTGGGTCTATTGGGGTGGCATAGGTTCACTGTAACTGTTGGAGTTGGTAAAGCAGATTTAAATTGTTGACAAGCCGAAATAATCAAAAACATTATGAAAAGACAATAAACTCAATTGAAAACAGTTGCACTATGGTAACAGACTCTGGAAACGTTAAAATTATGAATATGGACTGTATTGAACATCGATCGAAATGAACTCTTTTAGAACATGGTATATGTTCGAGATGAAAAACCTAATCAAAAACAAACTGTTGAAAACAATGAACGATATGGACTGTTTTACGGTAACTTACGCGCTCTATTCCGAACAATAGAGAAATTGTCGCGCTTACCTAATGGATATACAGATCAGGAGCATGTAATTCCACAATTTGTTTCGTGATTTGTAGGTTTTTCTCCTCATTGAGACAGACATTTTTCATTCTTCCACTATTACTAAGGTAAAGTACTTCTTTTTCTTCTTATATATATACATGGCGTTTCATTTGGTTTTCAATTTTTATAAATTAATTAATGGTAACAACTTTGAATATTCTAATTTCAAATACCTTAAAAGAGATTTATATTATTGAATATTTGTGGTTAGCATTCCTTTTCGATTAAATAGATTTCGTTAGAATTAAAATGCTTTTTAAAAGTAGATTCGAGCGAGTCATACTTTTGATTATTTACAAAGCCGTCATAAGTAGCAATATACTTATATAGAACGGTGAAATATTAAGCTCGTTTAACAAAAATTGTATCCAAAAGCGTTATTTTTTCAAAAAAGCCCTGAGATGGCATAAACTTAAAAATGCGTTTTTTCTTCCCGACATGGGACAAGCATATATTGACCAACTAGGTCTACAAAATCGTAACAATGCGATATTGCGAGCATTGAGTATTTTAACTTAGCGAAATACATTGAATTGAAAATATGTTTTAACCGTCCAAACCAAAATTTTTAAAATAAAAATACGCCATCCTTCTGTAATTCTAATTTACAACTTTTACCCTTTGCTATAACCTCCTGTTTATTTCAATGTCTTGTCTCATTATAGATCATATACATTTAAATATTTTTTTTGACCTATATCATTAATTTTGACATTGTGTATTGTATTTTTCTATATATTTTCAATTTATTAGAGGGTGCCAAATCTTCAAACTTCCAGTTAGTAAGATGGGGAGATAATATAGCAACTAACCCCCAAATGTACCCCATTTCATGTTAAAAATATGAAAACAAAGTTAATTTTCCCCAAAATTCGAACAAAGACTTTTGTAGGAATCAAATTACACCAGGTTTAAGAACATAACAGGTTCCACCCAGTCATTATCAAATTAAAATCTATATTCTCAAGACCTTTGGCACTGATTGAAATAATTATATCTAAGTTCCCATCCGTACGATGTACCTAATTACCCTTATTGAGATAATAGGAGTTTCTGTTTATAACGTGAATCACGAGCTCACGTTTACAGCATTTAATTGGATTTATGATAAACGTATAAATACGACTCCGATATCTTTCGATAGGGAAGACGATGTAAACCATTCAAAGCGAGTGTGGATAAATGTTTTAAGATTTGTATTCTGTGTGTTGTGGAAATTTACAAATAAAAACATATAGAGATTTTTAACGCATCTTCATTCACGTGGGCGTTGAAGCTGAAGGGTGAACGGGTGACTTGCAAGTCAGAGACAATCTACGAAATAGCAATATACGGTAACATCACATTCATTTACCAATTATTTATGCTATACGTTAAACGAGTGGATGTTCACTAAATTGTTAGTATATAGTATAATTTAGTCTAAACGTGTCTCACGATAAATTCTGTTACGTAAAAAAGTGTAATTTACTCCTCGAGCGTAGATTATAAATAAAAAATTTTCATCGTCAAAACCGCCGTTTGGATATTTCCCCGGGCATAGACTTCCTTGAAAGAATTTACCGCGGTCAAAGGTCGGGGAAATTTCCATTCAGTGAATCGTCCCGGACCAGATTATTTTACTTCAGCCGTATTTTGCCGACCACTGGGATACGCAAACTACCTTACCTTACTGCGAAGACGAGACCAGAAATCCGTTCGCGTGTGAATATCGCCCACATGATTCAAGCCTGCGAATGCACACAGAGTACAGAATTAAGTGCGCCGAACATAAAACAGATTTCGCGAAATCGGCCCCTTAGACTTTTTCGCCCCCCTCTGTATTGTTTTCGCCCACTGGGGGACGATATCGCCCACTTTGGGAATCACTGTCTTACATAACATAGACATGTGCTGGGCGTGTGTTTCAAAACGTATTGGGAATTTCCTGCCAAATTCGGTTATAAAAGAGTATGGGATCTCGTAACAATAGGAAGCTTAGTCTTAGAACATTAGATTTTTCTGGGAGCCATATGCCGTCACCAAAAAAGCCATATATGGCTCGCGAGCCATGGGTTCCCGACCCCTGCACTAGGATAAAGTATGGAATCGTGTCATCTCTACGTCGGTACCATAAGTTATCAAAGTGTAGTAATTCTGCTGTTCTATGATTGCATTCATTGGATAGTAATTAAAGGTTTCTACCAGGATTATAGCACAAAAGTGAGATTTCAGATATTCCCCGGTAGGGATGGACGATATAGAATACCTATAAGACTCGGAATCCGCCTCTTTGGCGCTGTAGATCAATATTTGTATTTCTAATTTATTAAGCAGGAACGGGCGTTTTTCTCTCGTGACGAAATCTGTCTTGTGTGATTATACTTGTGTTTCTCGCAAAGAGCCCGCAAAACCGTTTGCGGCAGGCATCAAACACCGTATTCCCAGCTTGAATATTCAAAACGCGAAGACGGCGGTATTGCACCATTTTATTTATTAATATTGGTGCCAAATGCCACCTTACAGGCGATTTTACGATTTTACAACAATTTTAATTTTTAGGGAATAGTGAAACATTCTTTATTTCAAATTAAATGACTTTTCGAGTACTCCCGGAAAATGATGAGTACCCGAAGTTAGATGATAAATAATTATTTGCTTTTATTTAGATCAAATTTTACTTTTCACGACACCCGGTTTCCGAAAATACAAAGTTATAACCCAAAACAATGGGGTTTTGTTACATTTATTTTGCTCTCTCAATAAAGGGCAACCCTAAAATGCGGGAACTGCGGGAACGACGGGAAATTGCAAAAACTAAAATGCGGGAACTACGGGAATATACGCTTGGGGGTGTATGTACGTGAAAATTTATCTAAAATGCGGGAATGACGGCAAATCTTTTTAAAGTGCGGGAAATATATACTCATTTCAGAGTATGTTTAGAAGAAATTGCAGTAGAAAACGGAAGCAACGGGAAATATACGCTTGGGTTATGTGGATACGGAAATTTCACTAAAAAGCGAAAAATTTCACAAAGAGTGGGAGTGACGGGAAATCGCTCTAAGATACGGATAATACGTATGTTAGTACAATTACCCCGTACATGCACACTCAAGTATAAATGGCACTTCGAAAGTTTGTGCAACAAGATGACGCACAACCTGAACCCTAACCTGGTATACATACTATGTTCAGGTTGTGCGCCATCTTGTTGCACACACTTCGGGATCGCCGTATAGCGCCGTCGTTCTCGTAGTTCCCGTTTCCCGCATTTTAGGGTTGCCCCTCAATAGATTTCGAGTCACCGATGAATTCATTTCTGTCGCCCAAGCGCGACACACGCCTGGTCGAATGTCGAGCGGTATTTTATCGACGATAAATTGAAAAAATTGCCACAGGTGGTATGTATAACGATGATATATATAAATTAAATTTTGGTAACAGAAATAAATTTGTCTCAAGATATAATTTTATGAGTTTTGCTCGCAGAAGCAACCGATTTTTGTCACAAAGGCACAAGACATTCAAACAATATATTACGATATCGTATCAATCCGATAACCTATATCCCCATTAGATATCCGCTACAACCACATAGCATAATGACTACACCCGCCACAATATCGCGTTGAGAGAATACCATGACGAGAGAACTGTGTAACCAGTGGCGTAGCAAGACTCTCGTGGGCCCTCCGCAAAAATATTTTGTGGAAATGAACCTAAAAACTCTCGGACAACAAATTTTTTATTTTATTTCGTCAAAAAGCATAACATGTCGGTATAAAAAAGCAATGGTAACCTAAAATTTGCGCTTTCGTGTTAGCAAACTCATCCACCATCTTCATCATATCAACTTTTTCAATTTGCTTCAAAAAATCAGTAGCTTACCTGTGATCATTGTCGTGTAAGTTTTGGAAGAAAATTCATTCGCGCCGGCGCCATCACTTTCGGAGATTGAACACGCTTCTGGTTTTCTACCGATACCACCGATGCTAGGCTTAATTCCTCCTCAGTTACGTTCGGTATTCCCAAGTCTAATTGTTTCAATTTTGATTTAAATATTTCGTTTATCTTGGTTACTTTTTTTTTATACGTTCTTCCTCTTCTGTCCTTTATTCTTCGTTTTTGTGTGCGCATTGTTTTGCGTTATAACTGTCAGACTGTAGCTACCTGTAGCCTACTTGACGAACATGGATGGAACAGGAGCACCACATGGTTAAGTACATATACAAATACAATATTTCCGGACTAATTGCAACTGGGCCAATAAGCATGGAGGTATAGGCTTTTTAGTGCATGTTCATACAATTTAACACCAATAAACTTGATTGAGTTTTGGGTGAGTTTGGTGCTAAAACGATTTGCATAATAGGAACTGCTTATAGAGGACCGTGTTCCGTTGAGTGAACATGGCTCTGTTTTAAAAAATATTTCATGAATGCAAGAGAGAATTTTTTGAAGTGGTGTTGGACTTTGCTTCATAAACTATTTAATTACCGATTTCGTGGACTCGCCAATCACTTTTAAAAAGCTACCTAACAAACCGAGTATAATTTATAAAACTTGGCGAAGTAACATCTAAAACTTTACCAATAGTTTGCGGCGTCCCACAGGGATCATGATTAGGCCCAATCCCTTTTTTAATATATATTAATGATCTCACCAACTGCTCAAACTTATTAACTATTCACCGACGACACCGGTCTTTTTTCCAGTCATGTATCAATTCCAACTTTAGAGAATAATGTAAACTATGAAATGGCAAAGGTACATGATTGAATTGTTTCAAATAAACTAACAATTAATATTGAAAAATCAAAATCTATGATACTCCCCAAGCAATAAAAATTGATGGTACCAAATTAGAAAAGGGGCTATCATACAAATACCTAGGAATTTTTATTGATTCTGGTCTTAAATGGGAAAAACATATTGAGCATGTGGTAAAAATTAGAGCAGTTGGTATAACCCACCTACAAGCTCAAACAATACATTCCATGCTCTGTGTATCTTTCGCTTTTTCAATCTCATGTTCAGTATGGAATCTCAGCATGGGGAGCTGCTACACAAAAATATTTAAGACAAATTAAAGTTTTAAAAACCGATCTCCTTGCAATTCAGCACCTAGAACTAAGATTAAGCAATTTTATTCGATACTCGACATTCTCAAATTGACAGACTTTTCCATTTTAAAATTGCAAAACTAATGCGTTAACAACACCAAAATACCACCCTACCTGAAACATTCGATAAATATTTCACTAAGCGGTGTAACACCCACGCACATTACACCCGATCTTCTGCGCGTGGAAATTTCAACGCTTATTGTGAAAGTATCATATGAAACTTATAACTACGCAAACAAGCATACGGGAAAAAAGTGTCAGTGCGGCTAGTCGGCTACTCAAATATCAATTTTCACCTCTAATTTCTGTTTACTATGTTGAGAATCACGTTCCTTTCATTACTTATCGATCTCGATCGGTAACCAACCAACTTAACAACCAAGATGGCGCATCACCTGAACACAGCATGTGTACCAGGTTAGGATGCGTCATGTTGGGTTATTTAAAGATGTTGAAAATTACTGATATAAACTCGTGATCATTCTCTACCACTGTATACTGTTTCCCATCAAATTGTTTAAAATTTCACAGACGCTAATAAATATTGAAAGAAAAATGTTTCCCCCTCTTCTGCGCTGTTTTGAGCTCTTCGCGCTCTTTTCAGTAAGTAGTAAGACCCCTTGACGGTAGAAATTCGTATCCATATATTTTTTTTCTTCGTGTTCGTATATTTTAAGCATCGCTTCCAGTTTTGCTGTAGACTTTTATTTTTTTTCGATGAATTGACAAGAATGTCTTATTGACAAACAGTGCATCTCGTATTGCTTGCATGGTGATATTGAATCAACTGAACGTGCAGTGGAAACGTGCTTAGTATGTTTGCATTTCAAGTAGCATGTGAGTAAAACGCAGCGAAGTAATTCCAATTTAACACGTTTTATCTGGGCATATTTTATCATTTCGTTTGCGACAATCGAACGAGTAACAATGATCTTCTCAAGTTTTTTCTCCATTTTGATCGTTTGCTTGTTGTTTAACCCGGCAGTTGGAAAACCAGGATACCGTCGTGAAAACGAAAACTGCGCATTGCCTGTGTCTAATAAAATAAATTATAATATGGTGAGCATTAATAGAAATTATTGAATTGAATTGAAAGAAAAAATACTTGGTTGAGGGTTCAACCACGTAGCCTTTAGAGAATTCAGCATAGTCCAACTTCTTTTGTAAAAATCCTGTATCACTATATTCCAGCTTCCTGATTCGTGGTATCAAATTCTGAACACCAATGATCCAGTTGAACGCGGTGTGCCATGTTATGTGATGCAATATTTCAAAGAAACTCCCGACGGAATTTTTGCTGAATTCAAGGATATTATTTCATCTGCGGAAAAGTAAATATTTTTTATATACATAGATAATTTATTATAAAATGGTTACCTTCTGTTCGGTTTCTGCGTTTCTGCATTCACTGCTCTATAGGTCCCCGGGATTATAGAAGTTAAATAAGTTTATCGACCAGAAATATGTAGCATTCGGACGGATAGAGTTAGAGATTTTTTCTGTAAAAAATATGTCTGATATTTACTGAGTTTAAAATTTATAAAAGTTGTAACAGCCGACGAACTGGTGTAGCAAATAATAGTACAATAAATTATGCGGACTTAGAAAATTGCTCAACCGGATATCCGATGGTCCAATATTGATAATGGTATACGATATAACTTTTGTAAATAAATGTTACATGACTGATATAAAAAAAAGGTACACAAATAAAATTTTCAATTTTCCGAATAAGGACTTAGGTATAACATGATTTTTTTTTTTATGCAGAGGTACAAATTCACTCAACGAAGTCATACCATTCCGTTGGTATCACAATGGAACCTCAATCGTCAGACGCGACAAAAATTTACCTATTGAGTTTAATGCAATTCAATTAAACTTTTCTAACAAATTATCATTTTTTGCAGAATATTTGTGGTTTAATTGGGCAAAACATAACGGAGCAGGTGAACATGCTTTGGAAGGTAAATTCTTGTGAAAACTTTTATTTTCACTATAATTCACATTGCTAAAAATATTCTAGATAAAAAATAGATCAAACCAGATATACCGTTACTCAAAAAACAACTATGTAGCAAATATATATAATAATCCAAAAATAAGTAACTCAAAATTAATATAACAATGACAATTATTTGAATTCTTTTTACTGTTATAAGTGGCATGAACTTATCTTTCACAAGACGATGCCTCAGATATATTTTTCGGTTCGACTCGTACAAACGTATTCTAAAGCTACAGGATTTATATTAGATATCTGTGCCGAACGTGAATGCATAGAGGAAAATGGTCACAGAGCTAATCAATAAATATGCTTTCTTGCATTGCAGAAATTCATTACTTTAACGAGCATCCGTTGAGTTGCTTCACGGATTATGAGCATTATTTCATGTGCTTGGAGTGTGGTGAAGAAGGTGAGTATCAATTTCAACTAACCACTTTCAGCTACCTGACAATCAAATGCCACATTATTAAATAGATTCGTTAAGCGTCACATGGAAGATTTATTTAATAACGCCGGATTTCAATTATTGGGAATTATTGAAATTGCCGTATTTAAAATGTATCATCGAAACTAATCGTTCGTTATCATCTGTAAGTAGTATGAAAGTTACACGGTTCCTTGAGACCACGAAAATATTTCCTAGACATTGACAACCAAATAGACCAGGGATGTGAAAACTGAAGTGGAGAAGTGCCAATTTTGAAGAATGTGCCCGCGAAACGAGCTTTCAATTTAATTAATCGTAAACGTGCGAGCAATTTTAATCTCCTTGCGTCGCGAAGCCTGTACCAGTACCCGAATGCCACAGCTAGCGAGATACTGTTGCAAAATACACAATGTTATAAAAGCGTGTTTCTTTTTCACTGAATTCGTTAAAAGTCGGTGTGGCAATAAATTTGAATAGCACTTTTCTTTAGAAATGTTTGCGTTTCAACTCAACATTTTGTCAGGACCCCGAACGATGCCGTAACATAAATACAAAAAAAAAATCAAATTTTTGTGCTTGCAACTACACTAAAAACTACGAAAGGCTCTGTGTATTGAAAATCCAACTTACGAAAATTCTTTTTGTAAAAATATTGCTTCGGCTAACTAAGATTTTCTACGAAAAGACCAAAACAAAAAACACGTGTAGTCACATTTGTTGATTTAAGGTTGATTTATTGTAGTGCTTGAAGTACGGATGTCCAATTCGAATTTATTATTCGAATATCGCGAACTTCCAATATGGTTTTTCGTGTTTGTGAGAATACCGAATATGGCGCACATATATTAAAATTATTAATTTTTTATCGTAATTGAAGGCAGTCGTGTGTGCGGCGTGGCAGTAAATCTAGGAGCTTATTGTGTTGTAATTAATTGTTTTCATCCTTTCATTTCGGTAATGACCGAGCATAAGGGCAATTTATTTTTTGCAATTTAGAGCGTATAAAATAGCTTTTAATTATTATTTAGTATCAATCGCGGCGTCATTGATGACAATATCGTTCAGTTTAAGTTTTAATTTATAATCTAAAATAAAATCATAACAGCCAACATGAAATATTTAAATCAGCGCCGACTCGCAAGATAAAAAAAGATTTCCGGCCTTGATTCTCCTCTTCTATTAGGAGATGGGAATACGGAATCAAGTCCGTATTAGCTGCCCTGCCACACGCCAATCAACTATCTGCCATCCCACTGACCGTTTGTTTCCCGCGGGTACGCACAATAAGTCTCACTCAGTATCAGTTGAGAAGACAATGATGACAGTTAAAACTAGAAAAATGAAATAAAAAAGATAAATAAAACTGCAAAATAAAAAGAGTAAATTTTAATTTTGAATTCCATGTGCGTGTGCTCATTTTCGTACATTACGTTCTCCCAAAAATTTCAACTTTTAACGCCTCCTCCCACCTTCTCTGACCGCCGTCTTCTCACTCTTCATTGTCTTTGCTTAGCGCAGTCAAATACTATGACCGAGTATTGTAAGGGCTTGGAATGGATTAATGTATTTTCAGGTAAAGAGCGTCCGTACTTACGGAATTTTTTTTGTACGCAGGGGCTTGGAACAAATTAGATTACGGAAACCCCTTTGCAAGTAGAAAATTCTTTAAGGTACACATTTCATAAGCAGAAAAAAAAGAGAAATACCGAATAAAATCTACAATTTTTTCCGTTTCCAGAGACCTTCGTAGGTAGGGTTTCTAGGTGCGGCCCGCGGCTTCACCCAGTTACTTGTATTTGGCCCGCCGTTAAAAAAGGTTGCACACCCCTGAAATAGACATATATATGATTTGAACCTCCGGAAAACATTCAATTTATTGCACTCTTTTCAAAATAGTGAGATAAAAATTACGTTTCCCATTGGTGAAATCGGAACGGACAATTTCATTATCGCTTTGATTTGGGCATTAGTTGTTGCCATTTTAATCAAGAGATTCTATTAATGTCGATCCTTCTGCATTGGCAATGTAACATCATAAATGCTCTCCAATTCTCACTTTTTAGGTCCAAAGTATATATGGGTTCACAGTCGTAACCCATATTCCACTGGAGAAGATATTCTACGTGTGCACAACAAGCTTGTTACAATCGGTGGTGGCTGGAGCTCAGTTCCCCTGTACTTATCCGGCTGTCATAAATTTACCATGCCAGAAACAATTGCTTACTAAACTGCTGATGTCTAAATAGTTATTAACTATGTGTATTTATATTTACAAAATAACTAAATTTTATATCTAATATATTATATATATATATATATATGTAATTTGATGTTATACAATGTTGAAGATATTGAAAAAGTGGATGGCCGGACTTTGGCTGTAGCTCAGTTCAGGGACATCAGGCGATAGCGCAAACGAGACGATTAGATTCTGCATCATCGCACTTTACATACGGATGGATCTTCAGTCGTATTGTAACAATAAATGGTGAAAATAGGGTCAGTTTATCCGAAGTTAGTCACTTTGATAGAAGTCATTAGACCTCCGTGTCTATTAATTTGAGTCTCCCTGTCTTGTTTCCTAAAACATTTGAAACATTTCTACAAAACATAACATTCATCGAAATAAGCACTTAAGTGAAAATACTATCTCATGAAGTAAACTCAATTCTTCCGATCTGGAATGAACCATTTCATTTGATTTTTAAGTACCCCATAATGGGGTACAACAATAATGTGTCGTGTGGTTAGCTTCGTGAGTAACGTCAGCGTTTTTATTCCAAAAATGAAGATATAGCTTCATTTGATTTATAACAGGCAATTTATAAGTGTATCTGAACAATTGTGATTACCATTCGCCAATATTGGCACTCATCCGTTAGCTTGCATCCGATTTGTCACGCGTTTTTGAACCCCCCTGTTTGATTATCAGTACCTCACACCCGTTAAAATACTGCATGAGATATACTATTCATAAATCATATACTGTATTTGGTCTCGCTAATGAGCAATAAAGTTTAAATGATTTTTAGGGGTGATGTTGATTACACTTGATTTACTTGCAAACTTCTGCCAATTTAAAGAATTGACTTCTCCGTCGCCATCTTTCCTTGGTGCACCTGGTGTTCCTGTTTGGATTTCACTTCTGGTGAGTATTGTACTTTGTACTAGAGATGTACCGATGTATCGGTATCGGGTATCGATATCGGCATTTTCCGGTATCGGCCATGTATCGGTATCGGTTGGATTAAGGCTGATATTTCCGATATATTAACTTTTTTGATATGGTTCAGAATGTTTTAAAAGAAAAGTTGGAATACTACTTTTTAATTTATTTTTTGTCTGGAGAGATCGTGAGCTATGAGCCATACATGTCCCCACCCCCGCGAAAGAATAGGATTCACGTGTTTTTAGCTATTCATCAGCCAAACTAGCTCAACTAATTTGGCTATTTTCGCTGTCAAATTTTAATATTGACATTTTTAATATTACATAGTAATTATGAAGAAATATATCAACACAGCACATAACAAAAAGCAACTAGGCGCCCAGTTTCAAATCATACAGTGGAATTGGGGTCCTTATTAACGGCACATGGACTTTTGGCACGGGTATAAATTCTGACTGTTTGTCGTCAAGTACGAGTGTCATTTAGTCCGTCGACATCGATGAACTAAATTTCGAAATTCAAAATATATGATAGCAATTGTAAAATATTTTATATTATAAAATAGTAAAGTAAAAAAACATCCTCGACGGTTATAGGTGGGTCTTCTTTTTGTCGGTGCTGATTGATATTCTCTCATTTTGGCTTAGACTTATTGCGTCGACGATTACGATTAGCCACGAAATAAAATATTTGTAAAACCCTTTTAATTTGAACTTAGGACGGCGGCGCTAGAATGTGTGGGTGATATTCGATATTCTTTTAAACACGAATAACGATATTAGAAGGTCGCGATATTCATATTAAGTTCAGATGGGACATCCGGGCTTATGAGTTTTCTAATTGAACACAGAGAATACTTGCGTTACTGTACAATGTATCTTAATCAGTTGAAGCAAACACCAAACATTAATTTCATATTATGTGATATATCTTTTTTTTCGATCTGAAATAATGTGTACTATGAACAACGCTCAAGGACCATTGTTTTAACCCGTCTGCTCTACACAGCACTCCTAATTAAGTAATAATTACATATTATCGGTATCGGAATATCGGTAATATCGGCCTTTTTGTAGTATCGGCGTATCGGTATCGGTATCGGCGTTTTTAGCTGGTATCGGATCGGTATCGGTATCGGCGATAAAAGTGGTATCGGTACATCTCTACTTTGTACAGCACTATGGATTTCATAAGAAAATACTGAGCGCAAAATCACAAGTTATCAAAGTTTTAGCCAATACCTCAGGTGTGGAAACATGAAGAATTATTTTGTGAGTGTGGGCAATAGTAGATCGGCATTAAATTGGTATTCTCTTCTGTACTTTTGTTTCAGATATTGCTGAAAGCGGCTCCGGAGTTATTATTGCTTACAAACGAGAAGACCGATTTGTGGTTCGTATTTTGAAAACAGTTAATTTCTGATAATTCATTCCTCCGGCACTTTTGATTTAGTACATGTTTCAAACTTTTTAGGCTGCTATATCAATTGGATGTTTAGCGCTTGCTGTTTTAATGGCGATATCGCTGAGTTGGCCGGTAATCAGCAAGCGGTAATACTTTTTATATGCAATTGTTGGATCGAATACCGTGTCCGTCCATGCATTTCATGTTGCTCCATTCAAGTAATAAATAATATCTGGATCTTGCTGTATAATAGGACGGAATGATGAAAAACCGTGTTTCTTTTTGGCTTCGAACATAGCAAATCAAATGTTTTGAATATTTGAACAAACATTCAGTCAAAATAACAAATGAAAACCATTTGGTAATTTATAAAAGTTTCGCACATTTTAGGTTGATTATTATGATGAAAAGTACAAAGCTATGGAAATCATTATTGAAACTATCATGAGCATTTTTGTTCTCGCTAAAGTTGTGTTTACTTCATCAACTGCGTTGCTTGGATATTTAGCCTTGACTTCGCATGACGATCGCTAGTTCACGGATAGGGTATTTTTGAATGTTTGTATTACAATCATTCATATAGCATTTTCATATACGTATAAGTATAAGTTTATTTCGACTTCATAATCAGCATAACAATAAAATGATTGGTAAAAATAAATAAAAACTGATTATGAAATCAGGAGAGCAGAGTTTTGCCAAGAAGAAGTGGTACGTGTTCACTCACCTAGAAAATAATGTAAATATTTCACACACGCTCACACGCACCCACACACACAATCATACAGAAAATTTAAAGTAAAAAAAACATGATAAATTACATACAGGTAGGTAAAGAAAATAAATCAATAAAAATTACTTGCCACAACATATTCATAATTTTTTAATGTTTACCACTGCCGAATTGATCTATTTTATAAATGGGAGTGAACAGTAATGATAAACTGTTTTCAGAATTGGGTGCATGAAGAGGTGGGCTAGACCATAGATTCTCAAAGTGCTCCGTACGGAGCCCCAGGGCTCCGTGAGAGAAACCTAGGGGCTCCTTGAGCCCCTTTGGATAACGAGTTATCTGTCGCACGAAATATTCAATCCATGGCCGATGCGAGCATTTAAAATGTCCTGTCATAATAATTTGTTTGTTCATCGTTACTCACCTTTGAGTCAAGATTACTATTACGATTACTGAAATAAAAAATACTATTACTATTCTAAAATAACATAAAAAACGTGGTAAACTGCCAACTATAAATAGATTGAAATCTTATATTTGCAAATTTGAGTTGTTCTCTCAGCACTCAAGATTAATTAAGTTTAATTATGATATTTGTGCCCGTCCCCATTAAATCATAATCATGACTGACTGGGCAGCAGATCACAGCGATTTAGCCAATTCGACCAATTTGAGACGTTCTTATAACACTGACTCCGCCATATCACAGTTCTGCCACTCCGATTCCGTTTCGGATATTACCGTCCCAAGATCTATACGAAAAAACGGATTGAAATTTATTTTTTGCGAAATAGAAAATTGATAATAATCTTTACAATTATCTTATCCTATATATCGTCACATATCGAGCAGAAATCGCATGGGGCTCCGTCGGTAGTTTCAGAATGGATAAAAAGGTACAACATCGTGCGCACAATTGACTGTGTTTCGATTTCATTAATAACGTATAATTTTCATAGATAACCTGACATAACACCAAAGTTTGTGATTTACGATGTCTAAAAAAGCGTCTTTAATCTGTCGAGAGTCTGCTTAAACAAAACATATGGTGTTATCTTCTGTTTTAGGTTTTCGTTTCAGTAATTACCGTATTTCTCCGCGTATAATACGCACCCATGTATAATACGCAGGGCTCTTTTAGTATGTGGATTGTATGAAAATACCAAGGTCCGTGCACAATACGCACGGTCGAATTCAGTCACTTGCGTCGACCGCGTTTGGTATTTAATAATATGTTTCAAATGTTTATGACGTCGACAGGCCTGTTGTCTGTCAATCTCGGAGTGATGTTACCCCGATTTGAACTATCGTGCTGTTACCTATCTTAGAGCATTTTGAAAATGGCTGGGAAAAAAAATTTGTGACGTTAGGTTTGCCTATTGGCCGCAAATCAGAATGAGACAAAAAGATTTAGGAACATTCAGTTTTGCTGTAAATGAGAGATGCCAGACTGGACGACACAACGATTAAACTATGATACAGACTGCCGTTCTTATCACTTATATCGTAGTATATATTTACGCTTATATACACTGGTTATTGAGGCTGATCATGTGCCACCGGGTGGGCATTAGGAATAACATGTATATCACAAAACGAAGGCGAGAGAAATATCGGGAAACCAATTAAGCCGGTGGTCTAAGCTCGAAGCACCGCCACTTGTCCGATGAAAAACGTCCTGCAAAGGTGGTTTCCGCTTTTTGTACCTAATTTTAGTGATTCGGAAATTAGCCGAAAAACGATTCGAATAATTTGCGATTCGATTCGATTTCGAATATTTGGTTCGCTTGGACAGCCCTAGTGCATGGTCTCCAGCGAGTTTTTGAATATTTGGGGACATTTTCGTCAGGCACAATCTCCAATCCCCCCGTTTACTGATGGCAAGACGATTTCGTTGTTTTGACAGCAATAGTGTCACTGCTGAAAACCCTTTTTCCACCACCATATAATGGGTCAAAAAAGAAAGAATCCAACCTCCTCAAAAATCGCCGGGTACTTGCCTAATGACCTGCA